CGGGGGCGAGCGGCTTCGCGGTGACAGCAGGCGCCATCTCCCCCAGAGCAAGATGAGTCACAATCGTGTTGGTGTGACTGCCACTTCTGCAGCAGGTGCATGTGGAGGAAAGCGTGTCCTCAGACGTGTCCCGGTACGCCCGTGTGCTCACTGGTATATATACCTTGGCTCCTGGGCAGTAAACCGGCCAGCCAGACGATGGGGTGTCCATTTTGGGAACATCGATTAATTGTGCTACTCACCGAGTTCAGGGTGGAGGGGGCGAAACAGGAAGGTACTAATTTCCACCCACCGTGTGGCAAGGCGGGTGGGAGCTGGTTTGTGGGCCTGTGCCATGTTCCCAGTGTGCCACGGCCTCCCCGGCTGACGTGACGAGGCAGCAGGGCTGGCTCCCTGGGCTCAGACTCAGCCCTGCCAGACTCTGGGGACTCCCAGTGGGAGTTGACGTCCTGAGCCTGGTCAAGCATGTTCTAGAAGGACCTTCTAAACCGGATGTCAGCCTGGAGGGTTGGTGGGAACTTGTGGGGCAGAAGTTCTGGGAGAGAAGTGGCTCGGGCGTGAGTTTCATTAAGTTGTGGGATATCCTGTGTTCATCCAGCACACCTAAGACCAGGGGCCTCACAGGAGGACAGGTCGGGTGGGTGAGGGTGTCCTCTGTTTTTTTTTTTTAAGTGTAGCCTCCAGGCTATCCCTGTGAGACTACAGGGTGCCTGCCCTGGGACCAGGTGATACTGCAGATCCCTAGCGACCTGGGAGACAAGTTGTCTTCCACCTGGCCTCATTCCCGCCCAACCTCCCTGGGTATCCAGCTCACTGTTTACTCTCCTGTGCTTCCTGGGCTCCCTGTTTTCAATCTGCCAGCAGAGTCTGTCACTGTCTGTCACCTGTAGTCTGTGCCTCTGGGTCTCACTCCTTTCCACAGGCCACTAGACCTCATCGGGTCTGGCCAACAAGGTTCCCTGAGTGTAGGTCCTCTCCTGAAATTCTAGTCCTGCGACTTCCCCAGAAATCACGAGTGACGCAGGTGTCTGTGTCTTCCCCAGAAATCACGAGTGATGCGTCTGTGTCACTTCCTTAGGTCGAGCACCTATCTGACTACATTCTCCTTGAACCACAAGGGATTCAGGCTGCCAAGTTCAACTTATTGGACCGAGACCCACAACAAATAATGCATATGAAACCCTGGCCCAGTGCAAATGTATATTTGTATATAAAACCGAGACACAAGTTCAAGGACTTGTGTCTTGGTTTTATATACAAATATACATTGTCTTCATCCTCACTGCGTGCTCACATTGATCCTCTCTATTTCCTTCCCTTTTTTTTCCTCTTTCTGGTTAGACGTCACCCACTCAGGTCCTGTGACCCACAGTTGGAAAACACCAAGAAAGTGAGAGGGAGTGTCATTCTTATGCCCAAGTTGCAGAGAGTGAATGCAGCAACTTGCACAGGGCCCTCAGCACAAAAGCCTCTGCCATCACGGAGCTTCTGTGCTAGAGGCAGGTGGATGGTAATCAAGTCAGTATCTAATTATGAAACAGACTTGAAAGTCAGGGCGAAGGGGAAGGGAGGGTGGGTGAGAGTTGCTCTTTTCACCAGGAGGGCAGGGCAGGTCTCTCCCTTGATCTGAGCAGAGACAGGAAGGAAACGAGGACTGAGGGGCAATGGAAGAGACCCAGGGGGGCGGGTGTCCAGGCAGAAGAGGGACAAGTGTGAACGACAGTGGCTCGGTTCTGCCCTCCTTGACTGACATTGCTATGGGCACGGGACTCCACCTTCCTCCTGGAAATCCTCCCTCTGGACTGGTCCCCTTGCATCCCCCTGGCATTCTGAGTGACTGCTGGTGTCTCCCCAGCACTGCCACTCTCACTCACCCCCGCCTCTAGGGCTGGACTGACACCTCAGCCAGGAATGAGTCTACCAGATGAATGAGAGCCTTTGCCTTCTGCTGTCTCTTACGACTAAGGCACAAGCCAGGCAGGTGTGAAGCGCTTTCTTACCACCCAGCCCTTCCCCAACACGCGTACCCCCAGGTACCTGCTGCCACTGCAGGCCTCACCCCTCAGGGGGTAGATAGATGTGTGTGCATTGCTCTTGGCTCTTCCTCGGGCCTCTGTCTGGAATTTTGTGACTCTGAGTGAAGTGGGTATGCTGGAGAGCCAGGGCAGGCCCTAGGGGGAGAGGCGTCTTCATGCTGTGAACCCTCCTGCCCCTTATCAAGCTCATGCCTGCCCCTCTTGCCGGGCTCTGCCTACCCTGACTCCTCTCCTGTGCCACGGCAATTTGCGGGAAGGCTTCACTGGATGCTACTACAGGTCTAAGGGCAGGGCACAGGGCTGAAGTCTAAGTTCTTTCTTCCGGTGTGTGGAGGCTTCCCCTGTCCCAAACAAGACAGGAACCGCTGGGCCTAGTGAGTGGCCTGGGGAGATGTGGTGTGGGCTGGTAAGGAGGAGGCAGTGTTCAGGGGCAGCTCCAGGAGAGGCTAGAGCCAAAGCAGGATGCAGGGAGGGGTGGGCCCAGGCAGCAGAGTAGGTCATCCTTAAGCTCGAGCTTGGCCTTGGCCTTGTAAACACTGAAAACCCCAACGGTCTCGGATTCTGCCAAGTGTCTTAGGTGTTTGGGGGAGATGGCTTGAGGGGATGTGCGTGAGCGATTCGGGTGGGGGCGAGGGAGGAGGCGCAGCAGGTGGGCCTGTGCCCGCACCGTCGGGGCGGGGAGGGTGATTCAGGAGCCCAGCTCATGTGAAGGGTCAAGAGAAGGCAAGCACCGAGACCGCGAACTCTCTTGAGGAAGGACCAGGCAGTGCCAAGGGGAAGGGGGCATGAGGGATCCCAAGCTCTTTCTGTGGGCCACGTGAAGTTAGGGCACGGTGAGGGAAGAGCCTCGACTGACAGAGTCACTGCATCCTCTGTCACATGGCCTGTGGGCTTTGGGCTGAGGTGACATGGCCGTGGAGGTGGCTCCATGCAGTGTTGGGGTGAGGTGGTCACTTGAGCACAGCGTGTCCCCCATGAAGTGGCAACTGTTCTGTGTCAGACACTGAGATGGCCTGGGGGGGTTCAGAAGTGACAGTGCAGGATGGGATCACCTGGGACCGGCTGGGAACTGCAGTAGCATGATGGGTGATGGACACAGCCCTGTCTGAGCCCTGCCTGTCAGCGCTTGACATCTCCCCTCTGTCTCCCTCTGCAGTGATGGGTCGTTCCCCTATGACTCTGTCCCTTGGCAGCAGAACACCAACCAGCCTCCCGGCTCCCTCTCCGTGGTCACCACGGTTTGGGGAGTGACCAACACATCCCAGAGCCAGGTAAGAGCCTGTCCCACCCCCAGCCACAGCTCCCTCTAGGCGAAAGGGTCCCTGGATCCCTGGTGCTCTCGGGTCGCCGCGCCACACCAGCTCTCCTTGCCCTCCCAGGCCCTGCCTGCTGGAAAGACCAGCTTCCAAGACTCATCTCTACCCCAGGAAGGGTTCACACCCACCTCAGGAGGATAGCACTGGGCCTCTGTGGACTGTCCATCCTAGGGCCTTTCTGGGGAAATGGCGTTCATCTGACAGACAGCCAGAGGTTTTTCCCTAGCCCTCGTTTGATTGGATGCACAGGAGAAATGCCTGTGTGTTAGTGGCCTCAGGACTGCAGAGTTTGAGAGGTCTTTGACCCTGGATGGCCTGGGTTAGATTTCAACAAAATGTTGCACCTTAGGCTTGTGGCAAACCCTCGACCAGCCACCTTGTCGAGCCTGCCTTTATCATTTCCCTTCTCTCCTCTGCCCTAACGGAGGGTCTCCCACCTGCCTGTCACTTGTCAGTCTTGGCCATGGCCAGATGGAAAGCTCGGCTGGTTGTAGCACTGGAAGGAATCCCTGGGCTTCCCTTCTGCTGCCCTCCAGAGCTGACAAGTTGGGCTTCTTGTCTCCGGCAGAGCAGCTGCCCAGGGCTTCTGGACCTCTGTGTGGCCTAACCAGTCAGGCCCCTCTTGGGGGGAACTGGAAGCTGAGGAGTCCCGTGCTTTCCCCACCTGCCGCCTAGTGCAGGAACAGCCTCTGCCTTCTCCCAACTGTCTATGCCTGAGGCTGCTGGAGCTGGCTTTGTGAACCTTGACCATGCCCTCACCGCTTCCGAAACAAGACTGGGACTGCCACCCCCTAGGCCACCTGTTTCCCAGGCCCACCCCTCCTCGTCACTTATACACTCGGGAATCGTTAATGCCACTCCTACTTTTCCCCCATGGGGTCCACCCCTTGTTCTTTCTCCTTCTCCCTCCCCGTTTTTCCCTCTTCCTCTCTACGCCACCAAGGACACTGGCTGGGGTAACGGCTGTTCTCTCCGCCCACAGGTACTCGGGAACCCTATGGCCAATGCCAACAACCCCATGAATCCAGGCGGTAACCCCATGGCGTCGGGCATGACCACCAGCAACCCCGGCCTCAACTCCCCACAGTTCACTGGACAGCAGCAGCAGTTCTCGGCCAAGGCGGGCCCGGCACAACCCTACATCCAGCAGAGCATGTATGGCCGGCCCAGCTACCCCGGCAGCGGGGGCTTCGGGGCCAGGTGAGGCAGGCTGACTTGGTGCTGGTGCTGCTGCTTCCCAGGCCTGCCCCTCCTTTTCACTTGTGCACTCTGGGCATCATTAAGCCCACCCCCACTTCCTCCCCCTCCCTGGGGTCCTCCATTCTCCCTCCATCGGCAGAAGGGAAGAAGGGTCCCACTTAAATCCAGCCCCGTGCTTCCTGGCCTGAGGCGCCTTATATGAAGGGGCTCGGTCATCCCCAGCTCTGGGATCCAGCCTGCAGATCAGACGCTGTGGCCTCTGGGCTGTGTTCGGACAGCCTCCGGGTCTGTGGGAATAGAAAGGCAACGTCTCGGTCCCCAAAATGACTCTTCTCTGCCTGTATCTTTAGTAAATCAGAAGGCACTGAGAGAGCTGGATCCGGAGAGCCAAAGAGCAACTGTAGATGGGCCCCAGTTACCTCAAGACAGTTCAGCAGTCTGGGAAAATCTGCCCTGCCCTACTGATCCACGAGGCAGAACTTGCAGAGACTGGGAGTCCCTCGGCTTGGGAGGGAGGGGCAGGGAATCCCAGAAGGAGCTGTGGGGAGGAGACAAACAAGCAGAAGTGTCGGTTCTCCTCTTGCCGCCCTGCCCTGTCTGAGACCCCTACCTCAGCCTCACTCCTTGCCAGCTCCAGGGCTGACTGCAGCTGCTGGGCTTCTGGCCCAGGGTTGACAAAACAGCACAGCCTGGTGGGTGAACACACGTGTCAGACAGGTGTGCATCCACAAGTCCACCATCTCTGCTGGTGGACCCTGGGCAAGCAAACATTCTCTGGGGCTTTGTGTTCTCTAGAAGATGGGCTCACCGGGGTCCCAGGAGCATGTACTGAAGGTGTGGCACTGCCCAGCACCCCCCTAAGGGCTCCAGGAGCAAGCGGCTTGGTAGCCCAAGTGGCACGAGTGACTACCATCCCCAAAAGACCCTGTGCCTTCTGGGCTCTGGGTACAGCCCTGTCCTTTTCCTCCCAGCCCAAAGCTTGCCGGGGGTTCATCCTCAGATGCATCCCCTAACTCTCCTCTCCTTCTCTCCCCACAGTTACCCCGGAGGTCCCAATGCCCCCGCAGGCATGGGCATCCCTCCACACACCAGGCCGCCCGCTGACTTTACTCAGCCAGCGGCGGCCGCCGCAGCAGCGGCAGTGGCGGCGGCAGCAGCCACGGCTACAGCCACAGCCACGGCCACTGTGGCAGCCTTGCAGGAGACACAGAACAAGGAGATAAACCAGTATGGACCGGTAAGGGTTCCCGCTAGTCCTGGTCCAGCCTCACCCAGCCAGTCCCAGGAAATGAGAGCCGGCGCGCTGGTGCTTGTGGGGCCACGTGTGCTAGGGGAGCTGATGGTGTCGGGTGTTCTTGGAAGCACGCAGAGGGGTGTGTGTTAGAATGTGGGCTTGTCAGTGTGTTGGAGTGGCAGGGGGTATTTGGGGACTTGTGTTTGTTCTGTGTGGGTTGGTAGCTTGTGTGTGTCTGCGGATGGGCAAAGGGCTTCTCCATTGCTCTCTTGGCCCCCTACTCACCCAAGAGTGGGCTCGGGGTCTAAGACTAGCCTTGTGGCCAGTCTGTCTCCTGGATGGCCTCTGAGGCCAGTACTCTCCAGTCATCTGTCTGTGCGTCTGCCCGGACTCCAGTGCTGCTCCCTTAACCTCCCGAAGGATTGGGTGGCGGTGAGGAAAGGGAGAACCCCCATAGGGATGCAGGACAGGAGGCATGGAGGTGGGGACCGCAGGGCAGGCCGGCAGATGTGAAAGCTGTGCCAAGTCAGACTCTTTGGATCTAGGGCCTATCTCCGCTGCTGGCTGAGGACCAAGGGCGGGGCCAGGGCTTCCAGGAAAGGGGCTTCAGCCTCACTCGGGCTCTTCCCTTCATCCTCATCGTCTCCACTCTCCCTGTCCCCTTACCCTCTTCCCTGTTCCCTGCCTGCCTTCCTGGAAATGCTGCCTGTGCATTGGAGTGACCACCCCCCCACCCCACCCTTAACACCCCCAAGCTGCATTTTTCCTGTGCGGCCTGCAGAGGGCAGCAGTGAGCCCGCGAGGACCACTCCCTTGAGGCATGGTGATCACAGGCCTGAACCGCACAGAAAAGTGCTCCTTCCCCTGTCCCCCTCCTCCCCCTTCCCTCCCTGCACTTTCAATGCATGTGGCATTTTATTCTTTTTTTTTTCTTCTCCCGTTGAAGGTCTGTTCCTCTTTCCAGATGGGTCCCACCCAGGCGTATAACAGCCAATTCATGAACCAGCCCGGGCCACGGGGGCCTGCCTCCATGGGGGGCAGCATGAACCCCGCGAGCATGGCGGCTGGCATGACGCCCTCGGGGATGAGCGGCCCTCCCATGGGCATGAACCAGCCCCGGCCGCCTGGCATCAGCCCCTTTGGCACACACGGGCAGCGGATGCCCCAGCAGACCTACCCGGGCCCCCGGCCCCAGTCCCTTCCCATTCAGAGCATAAAGAGGCCATACCCGGGAGAGGTGAGTGTGGCTGTGGACAGGTGGGAGGTGGGAGGTGGGTGACCTGGGCTTGAAGACACGGGGATGTGGGTGGGGCCTTGGAAGGGGCGTGGCTTGACCCCCAGAGCGCCTGGACCAAGAGGCCCTGAGAGTCAGGTGCTCCTGGGTTTGAGACCTGGTTCTGCTGTTTCCCAGCTGGAAAATCTTGAGCAAGTCACACCACCCCCCCTGAGTCTCAGGTTTTTTTCATTTATAAATAGCAGTGACAATCCAACCCGCCTCCTGGGGGGACCTGTAAGGATGTCCGTGAAGTGATTGGCCCCAGGCCACTTAGCAAGCAGCAGCTGCTCTTACTGTTCACTTGTCCTGGCTCAGACACTCACTGGTAGTGACTCTGGGATAGAACTTAACCTCCTTGGGTTTAGTTCATTTCACCCCCACAAGGGATTTCCCAACATCTCCCCGCCCCACGAGTGAGAGCAGAAGCAAAACCCTTTCGGTATATAAAGGCTGTAGAGGAAGGGAAGTGGCTGGGAGCCTGTTTCTTAGGGCTCGTCTCCAACCATGGTCAGTCACTCTGTCGGGAGAAGCATGGCCTCTTGGGCTGCCCAGCCAGCTCAGCAAGGTGTTGGGGAAGATTTGGAGGAGTAAAACCTATACCGCCTGCTTTCCGAGAACTCAGACTTTAGCAGAAAAGATTTGAGCAGAGACCCACAAGGGAATGATGCCTGGTGGACTGCACGGAGCTCAGTCTGAGTAACAGAAGGCAGGCTTTCTGGAGGGGGTGTCACAGGGCCTCCAGGGAACACTCAGAAAACAGTAGTGGTGGCAGCTGGTCCAGCTGGGTACCCGGGTGAGGATTTAGTTTACCTGCAGAAAGCACAGGGGCCCCAGACTCCTGGCACAGCAGATGCCCCTCGTGAGGCCTGCCTTGATTGTGCCCCCCATCCAAGCTCCTTCCTGAGCTGTGTGCCCACTGTTCTCTGCTGGCACGCCCGTGCTCAGAACATTCTCCTATCTGACATCAAGACTGTGGCCCAAGCCGGGCTCAGTGGCTCAGCCTGTAATCCCGCACCTTTGGGAGGCTGAGGTAAGTGGATTGCCTGAGCCCGCGGGTTCGAGACCCGCCTAGGCAGTGAGAACTCATCTCTACAATAAATCAAAAAATCAGCCGGACGTGGTAGCACGTGCCTGTAATTCCGGCTACTCGGAAGGCTGAGGCGGAAGGATTGCCGGAGCCCAGCAGGTCAAGGCTGCGGTGGCCAGGAGTGGCCACTGCACTCCAGTCTGGGTGATAGAGTGAGACTCCAACTCAAAAAAAAAAAAGTCTGTGGCCCTTGTCACATCACACTGCCTAGCAAAGGGGAAGAAAAAGACTGTGCCTTTTGCTTGGGCTTACAGTGGATTTAGATGCCAAGGACCTTAAGTTCCTTGAAAATCTGTGCAGTTTCCCCAAGCTTCTGCCCTAGCTCAGACTGGGTGACTTGGCAGCAGGTGGAGGAATTCTGAGTCCAGAAGGGGGAGAGAGGGAGGTCAGGGCTTCCTCTAGCATCCAGGAGCCCCGCCCCTCTGCCTGGTCAACATGTGTTCAGGGAGGGGCCAGGAAGGGCCATCAACTCCCAGTCCCTGGCTGTCCTGGGAGCTGGGGGGGAGACCTTAAGCTGCTGGCTTCACTCCCGGCACACAGCCCCCATGTGCTCAGACTGGGCCTCTGCTCAGCCCCCTTTGTGCTGGGACTCCTGGCATCCCCACTGGCTGGGCTTGGGGTACATCTGTGAGCCCAGCCTTGGGGCCACCAGACCTTGGCAAGGCTGTGGCAGAATTCCTGGGCATTAGAGTCCAACCTGCACCTGCACCACTGCTGACCTCCTGACTCATGCCTGCCACGAGAGAACACACCAAAGGCTCTCGGTACTTTTACTCAATTAATCATCCTCTTCAGAGAGCACTGCTGCTACTCAGCTACAGAATGACGGATTCTGAGCTGTGGCACTGGGTGGTCACGGCCTGCACAGCTTGGCCCTGTCCTGACTTAATCATACAGTGTTTGAACTGTTGGAACCTTAGGGCAAGGCCTGGGGCTGGGTCACCTGGTTCGGTAGAGGACTCTGTTCTCTAGCCTGCAGGGCAGGCAGGCACCAGCCATGTCGACACCTCCCATGGTAGGATCCTCACTGTCACACAGAGGAGCCGCTGGGTCATCACAGCGTCAGTTAGAGAGAGGTCTCCCACACTCTGACTGCTACCCTGACTCCTCATTCCTTTGTCGAGCAGGTATTGATGGCACTTCGTCAGGTACTGGGGCACAGCCACCAATGGGACCTCGGGGCTTGGGGGGCAGGAGAGACAGACAAGGAAGAGGAAACTACTGACTCCACAGAACATCATGTGGCCCTGAGGGTCACCTGACTTTCCAGGCAGGGAAGGTGCTTTGAGGGTGGCGCTGTCTCCTCTCCTCTTTAAATTGCCTCTCCCAGGAGAAGTTATCTTGTTCCTTCCTTCACCGACTTGGTTCTCCCAGCCTGGCACAGATGACAGGCTGCCGATGGCCTGGAACTGAACACCGGGTCTGTGTTCTACTCCGTGTGGGATACAGGAACAGTGCCACCCAGATTCTCCCTCAGAATGCAGGGGTGCAGGGGTCACCTTTCCAGAAGTATATCCTATGGACTGTTTCCCTGTCACATTGGGGTATTCATTGGGGAACACAGCAGTGCTGAACCAAGCAGCAAAAGGACACAAGTGGAAGGTTAGAATCGAGCCTCTCACAATGGCATGAATGAGAGGCTGTGAAAGTGTTCCTGACTCAGAGGGCACGTGCTCCATGAGCTGGACGGGCAGAACGCTGTGTTCCTGATGTAGGGCAAGAAAGGATCCCAGGCATCATCTGGTTGGGCCTCTCCCTCTACAGGTAGGGAGGGTGTTTTGTAGGTGAGACACAGCCTAAGCAAAGGAGAAGGAGACAGGCTCCGTCCTGGCATTCGGGTGAGCGGCATGGCTATGAGACATTGACAACGTTTCCCCTGTCCTTTTTCTGACACCACAGCCCAACTATGGAAACCAGCAATATGGACCAAACAGCCAGTTCCCCACCCAGCCAGGCCAGTACCCCACCCCCAACCCTCCAAGGCCACTCACCTCTCCCAACTACCCAGGGCAGAGGATGCCCAGCCAGCCGAGCACCGGGCAGTACCCGCCCCCAACGGTCAACATGGGGCAGTATTACAAGGTGAGTGGCCCCCCTTGGGACACCCACACTACCCCGAGCCTTGCCACCATGCCTCAGGGCCCCTTCCCGCTTTCTACCTCACATTCCAAATCCCATCCCTGACCCTGCATGTGTGTCCTGAAGACACCAGGGGGCATTTGTTTTCTGGATGTCCCATATACTCAGAGCCAAGTTCAGTGAGCAGAAAGTCAGGCTGGCTTTTCTTGGTTCCTGTTCTCATGGGGCTTGGATGATGGTTTTCTTTCTCCTTTTCTCATTTATGGCACTCACAAGATAATAAAGGAAGTACGTTTTATAACAAAGCACATACTCTGAATAAGTTAACATTTCATCCCACACTTTGTCTCGCTACATGCCAGGTGGGCACCTACATGTTGTAAAATTGTTATTACAGCTTTAACTTTGAATCTGTTCCTCTTACTTAACATGAACTCATAATCATGTCACTTCTTGCTGCAGTGTATCTATGGCTTTTGCTTTTAATGGCTGCCTAATATTCCACTGAGATATCCTTATCCTATTTTATCATTCCCTTTCTATTTGATATTTAGATTACTTCTGATTTTTCATTTTTGAAATAATACTATGATGAATATCTTCCAGCCTATCATCTGTTTCTTCTTCAGGATTATTATAAACTACCTTCTAGGAGTGAAGAAGACTCACTATTTCACATTTATTTGCCAAAGAACCAGGCTAATTTACATGCCCATCTGCTGTATGGGTTTCCTTACCATTTTTGTTCCAACTTCAGCAGTTGGTATTTTTGTAAACTCTTGTGCTACACTAACAGCCACGGACTGAGAGAAGCAAACGCCGTCCCTTGGGGTGACTGCTCTGCCTCCCCCCCTCCCCAGCCCAGCTCTGGACAAGTCTCTGTCGCATCCCCTTTACTCCTGGAAGTTTTACTGTCAGGAGGGAAAGCGGGCTTCTTGTAACTTTTCTGCCTTACACTCACAGCTTGTCGATCTTGTTTTAATAGCCAGAACAGTTTAATGGACAAAATAACACCTTCTCGGGAAGCAGCTACAGCAACTACAGCCAAGGGAATGTCAACAGGGTATGTTCCAATTTTAATTGCAAAGGTTCTAGCCCCTGGGCAGCTATGTCTGAAGGTTCTTGCTGCTCCTGCCCCAGCTTCTCTGGATGTGTGGAGGTGCCCACGGTGGGGGGGGGGGGGGGCTGCATGTCCCAGTCCTCTGGTTTGGGGCACAGAAGTACTCAGAACTGAGGATCCACCGTTCTGGATAGGTGCATCAGGGACAAGTGTAGGCCTGACCAGACCTGAAAGAGAACAAGGCAAGGACTAGGAGAGGGAGGGAGAAAGGGTCCTGGCGACCCAGATGGGTTGGGCATGGTGGCTGTGGCCTCTATGTCATGTTGTAGGAAGCCCACCTGGCTGGGCAGCAGGAAGTCTGGGCTTAATCCCAGTTCTCCTCTCAGGGTTGAATCAAACAAGTCTCACACCAACCTGAGTCCCAGTGTCCCCGTTTGTCAGATGGGTGGGTAGGGGTCTCTGCATCCACCTGACACTGGAGGAACACGGTGGCGTGAGACCCAGACAAAGGGTGGGAGACCCTTCCTAAACCCACCAGCCTTCTGAGGGGGTAGAGATATGGGGGGAGGGGTTCCCCTGGTGGAGGTTCTCCTTTTGGTGAGCTTGACCCTGGGGTCAGTGGGGTGTCCTGTGTCCTCATAATCTGTGTGTATTTTCTCTTTCCCTCTAGCCTCCCAGGCCAGTTCCTGTAGCAAATTACCCCCACTCGCCTGTTCCAGGGAACCCCACACCCCCCATGACCCCCGGAAGCAGCATCCCTCCCTACCTGTCCCCCAGCCAAGACGTCAAACCACCCTTCCCACCTGACATCAAGCCAAATATGAGCGCTCTGCCACCGCCCCCAGGTGAGGGCCCCACACTCTCCCTCCACCCCACTCGGGACTCCCCCAACCTCCTGAGTACCAGGGGCAGGGGGCTTAGAGTTGGGCTGCTGGGGATGGGAAGTACACGACAGAAGGCCAGAGGGCTTGAGGGCAGGCAAGCCTCAGCCAGAGGGATATTTGAGATGGGAGCTGGGCTGCCCGGGTGGCTGGAGTCTGGGAGAAAACTTGGCGCCCAGCTGTGGGTAGAAGCTGAAAAGAGGAGCCTGGAGCTTCCAGAGCAGGGAGGCGTGGGGAGAGGAGGGATGCATGGCCCGGCTGGGGCCAGGAGCACTTGAAGACGCCATGGGGTCCCTGGTGCACACCTGGGCATAGCCCCGTCTGTACATGCGTGCTTGCCTTCTCCTGGGCCTGCAGCCCCGGGTGAGCACGTCCCTCCCACGACCCGGAGCCTATGCTCCTGTGTACCATGGCAGCCTGGCATGCGACTCATCCGTTTCCTCTCCCTGCCCAGCCAACCACAATGACGAGCTGCGGCTCACGTTCCCTGTGCGGGATGGTGTGGTGCTGGAGCCCTTCCGCCTGGAGCACAACCTGGCAGTCAGCAACCACGTGTTCCATCTGCGGCCCACAGTTCACCAGACGCTGATGTGGAGGTGCGTGTCCAGGAGGGGGTGCCAACCCAGGTGGCTATCACCCACTCAGCATTACTAACCGGGCCCTTCCCTGCACAAGGCCCTGGAATGTCATGGGAAACCTGTAGGCATGTGGGTTGACAGCAGCTCAGACCTCAAGACTGAGAAGGAGGGTATCCCAGCCAAGGGGATAGTGGTCAGGAATCTGAGTGAACTCATGTGGTCAGAGCCGGGGACGTAGCGAGATGAGGCCAGCCTGGGCAGGCAGCTCGGCAAGCCCTGCAGATTGCAGGAGGCTGATCGTGGGGCAGGGCTGCTGCTCAGACACATGGGCCACGTGCTGGAGCTTGGGTCTGAACGTCCCCTGCCTGGCCAGGCCTGTGCTCAGCGCCTTCCACACATGACCTGCTTTGATATTGGGAGTGGGCACCACTTTCCCTTTTGACGGAGGAGGAAACCGAAGCCAGAGAAGTGAATTAGCTCGTGTGAGTTCTCACAGCCACAAAGGGCAGAGCTGAGACTTGGGTCCAGGTCTCCTGGATGCCAGAACCTATCTGTGGGTGTCTGCATCCCTTGGTTCTGCGTCCTCAGGCAAGACTCATTGTCACACTATGCCTGTGAGTAGAGCCCCCTGACTGCCCAGTGAGACTTGAGGGCGAGACATGGGTCTGCACTGGACAAATGCACACACCCCCACTTGCCGTTGTCTCCACCACACTGATCAGGATGCAGTGAGGTGGCCAGAGGCAGCTGGCATGGGCATTCGCGACAATCAGGAGGGCGGCGACTCCCAGCATGGGACAGACCCCTGTGCAGCCCATTTGAGCTGGCGCCCTACTCACCCGCACGCCTTACCTGGGAATGCCCTCACCTGGGAAGTTTCCTGCTCCTGGCTTTGTTGCCACACTTATGTGGTCAAGGCTGGTCCTTGCGAATCCTTCAGTGCAGTGTCCTAGGTGGGGGTACACCTTGGGGTTGGGCTGAACCAGAAACGACCCTGATCTGAAGACAAGCCTCGTCAGCCTCAGAGCTGGTCTTGTCACATTCGTGTCTGTTCTTTTTTCCCTTTGTCTCTGTCCTGGGAAATGAGGAGTCACCCTTTACAGGGCGGGAAAACTGGGGCGATCGTAGCCGGAGCCATGGGGCATGGCTGGAGTGAGCAGTGTGTGGGAATTACGGGGAGCAGCTTGGGTGGCAGGCTGGGTTTTGACTGGAGATGTGGAAGAGGGAGTCTCCAGGGTGAGGGAGGAGAACATGGTGAGGCTGGGGGGCCATCGTGTCCAGGGATGGGGTCCTGAAGGACTTGAGGCTGTGGTGCATTTAGGGACGTGCAGGCTGGTTCGGAACCACAGAGGCCGTGGGCAGCCTCCTAGCAGAGTCACCCTGACCCCCCACCCACGTCCCCCGCCCCACCCAGGTCTGACCTGGAGCTGCAGTTCAAGTGCTACCACCACGAAGACCGGCAGATGAACACCAACTGGCCGGCCTCGGTGCAGGTCAGCGTGAACGCCACGCCCCTCACCATCGAGCGCGGTGACAACAAGACCTCCCACAAGCCCCTGCACCTCAAGCACGTGTGCCAGCCGGGCCGCAACACCATCCAGATCACCGTCACGGCCTGCTGCTGCGTGAGTGTGCCGGCGGGGGGCAGGCGGGGTTCAGGCTTGGGGAGCAGTGGCGCCGGCGGGCCAGGTCAGCACGGGGAACGCAGGACAACGGTCCCTCTAGGCCCTAAGCCTTGCTCTTGGGTCACTGTGTCCCCATCCCCACAGCCGCCAAAGTGATCTTTCAGAAACACAACTCTACAGGCTTGCAGTATCCCCTTCCCCTACCCACTGTGGCCCGTGGAATCAACTTCAGATCCGGTGGCCTTCAGCACCTCAGCGCTCTGGCTTCAGGCGTGGCCTTTTCCCTTTTGCACTGAGCCTCGTTGCTCGCCGCACATGCACCCCCACTTTGCTCTCGCGGGCCCCTCCACTGTCCTCTTTTGTGAAGCTCTGTGTGTCCTTCAAGGCTATGTGGGATCCCAGGGGCTTCAGGCCTGGGGACAGCCTAGGGCTGCCGAGGCTGCAGGCAGGCAGGCGTGGGGCCAGTGGGCGGGAACTCAGCGTGTGCTCCCTCTCCGCAGTCCCACCTCTTCGTGCTGCAGCTGGTGCACCGGCCCTCCGTCCGCTCCGTGCTGCAAGGCCTCCTCAAGAAGCGCCTTCTGCCTGCGGAGCACTGTATCACAAAAAGTGAGTCAGGGTGGGCACAGAGCGCGCGAGTCAGACCCCAGCCCTTTATAAACAGGTTTGAGCAGGGGTCACCGCTCCCCGGTTCTGACTTTTGCCTCCATGCACAAGGCCGCTGGACCTGGAGTGTTCGAGCACCAGGCCCCACCTCAGGCTCACACCCTCCCTCTGGGCTTATGGTGGTGATCAGATGAGGCTGTAAAGCCTGGTGGGAATTTTGGAACCTGCCCTGTATGGAAGGGCTGGCTGCCCAGCTTGGGCGCCGGGACAGACACACCTACAACAGCACAGGACATGAGGCAGATTAAAACAAAATGCCATGTTAAGGCAGTCCAGGTGGGCTTCCTGAAGGAGGGGATGACCTGAGCCAGGCCTCAAAGGATGGAAGGATCTTCACTGTGTGGGGAGTGGATTCCAGCTTGTTCGCCTCACTTCAACAGCTGATGCTGAAACTCAAGAGGGACTTGGCTTAGATCCACTTCTTTGGAGGAGATGCCCAGGTTGCAGGGAGGCACACTGCCACCTTCTACGTGTTGCCTCCTTGAGCCCAAGAATTCCACCAGGCAGTTGTTCGTTTCCATTTCCACACTTTTAGGACAAAGTGCAGAAGCACCTGAGGGGTTTTCTCACTGACCCAGTAAGCCGGAGAGGTGCTGTACTGGGGTCCTGCAAGCTTTGCAGCAAGTCCCCCGTTTTGAGTGAAGGCAGGGCCTGATCTGCAGAGATGGGGACCAACCGTGGCCCCCTCCCCAGTCCCATGCTCCTCATACATGTGGCACATGGGGCATCCTTCCAGAGTGCTGGGCAGCCCAGGGCCCCCAGTGGTCTGACTCTTTGCTCTGGGCCTTCTCGGTGCCTGGAGGGGCAGCGGGCAGATCCAGGGCTTGCTTCAGCCTCATGAGGGAATGGTGGGTGCATGTAGACCCTCCACCTCAGCAGTGTTACCCTGCCCCCTCACCCACCTGTACCTTCCACCCCACAGTCAAGCGGAATTTCAGCAGCGTGGCTGCCTCGTCGGGCAACACGACCCTCAATGGGGAGGACGGCGTGGAGCAGACGGCCATCAAGGTGTCTCTGAAGTGCCCCATCACATTCCGGCGCATCCAGCTGCCCGCTCGAGGCCACGACTGCAAGCACGTCCAGGTGAGTGGCCCCAGGAAGCACGGCCCCTCGGCGAGCCACCCAGGCTGTAGCTGGGACAGCGAGGGGCGAGCAGAGGGGACAACAGGGCCTGTCTAAATGTGGCTCTGAGGGATGTCGTGGCCGTCAACAGGGAATGTCACTCTCTCATCTCAGCCATCATTTATCCTTTAAATGACTTCCCTGCGTACTCAGGCTTGGGTTCCCAGCGGGCCACAGAAATGGGTTTGGATGGTCCCTGACCTGACAAATGTCAGGTGCCAGCTGGACGTCTCACACACATGGCCATGGCTGGTTCACAGCGGTGACGCAATGCCTCTGTCCAGTTTGCTGCCTGTCCAGGCCCTTGTCAGAGCGGGTGTTCAGGAAGTGTCTCTGGAATATTACAGTCTGGGCAGCCTGTGGCAGAACAGGAAGGGGAGCGAGGAGCATCCCTGCAGGGACCTAGGCATGGGTGCACAGAGGGATCCAGGGCTGTCATGCTCAGCTGGTCTTCAGGGCTTCGTGGTGGGGCAGGAGCCTCCCTCCCTCCCTTCAGAAGAATGTTATGAGCACCGTTCATGGCCTGGTCACTTTGTCTATCTGACACAGATTGAGGAATTTGATCAGATTTGTCCTCAGTGCCTGAGCTGGACTGAAGAGGCTGCCCCTGGCCTCAGTGAGAGGGGCTGTCACAGGGCAAAAACAGAATTGGCTGGGGAGGGACCCTGGAAGGCTTCTCAGAGGACATAAGCACGGGGACATTTGGGGCATGGGAGGTGGCATGAGGTATGCTGGGTTGGAGGCATCAGTCACTCAGCGTGGCAGAAAGGCAGCCTGGCTTTCACTCCACCTAACCTCCACCCTGGATCTTTCCTACCACCTGTCTCTCTCCCTAGTGGGGAAGCCTTTCTAGGGTCCCCAAGGTGTGACTAGGTAGTTTCTGACAGTCCTGTCTGTCTCTGGCCTCTGCAGTGCTTTGACCTGGAGTCGTACTTGCAGCTGAATTGCGAGAGAGGGACCTGGAGGTGTCCTGTGTGCAAGTGAGTGACATATACCCCAGTGGGGGCTTCCCCAAACCACCCCCTACCACAGAAGGAGAAACTTTTCTTGCTCTCTGGCCCTTTTCTTGGGCTCTCCCCTCTAGCTGCCCTAAAGAAAAAGAACAGCCTGGCACAGTGGCTCAAGCCTGTAATGCTAGCACTTTGGGAGCCTGAGGCGAGGGGATTGCCTGAGCCCACGGGTTTGAGACCAGCCTGGGCAATTTGGCGAGACCTAGTCTCTACAATAAATGAAAAAATTAGCAGGGTATGATAGCGCATGCCTGTAGTTCCAACTACTTGGAAGGCTGAGGCGGAAGGATCGCCTGAGCCCAGCAAGTCGAGGCCGTGAGTGTGCCACTGCACGCCAGCCTGGGTGACAGAGTGAGACACCAACTCAGAAAGAAAAAAGGAAAAAGAACCCAAACAAGGCAGAGGAGATCAGATTATGAGGGTTCTGGACAGTTCTTCGGTATCAAGCTGTCACAGAACTGCCCTCTCCTGTGCCTCCTATAGTAACCAGCAGCAGGGTCAGGGTCCTGGTGACACAGGGGATTGTAGGTTGTGCTCGGGTTCAGAAGCAAAGGCCAATGCCTCCCCAATCTCCTTTTCCAGTAAAACCGCTCTGCTGGAGGGCCTGGAGGTGGATCAGTACATGTGGGGGATCCTGAATGCCATCCAACAGTAAGTGGGGGTCCAGTGTGGGCCAGGCCAGGGTTGAGGGGACGAAGCTTGGTTGGAGAGAGATGAGCACGTGGACAGCCCTGACACAGCATTCCCCAGACTAGCAGACCACTCACCCACATCCTTTACCTTGGGGCCTCTGAACCTAGGGACTTAGGAAACTTCCAGAAGGGACAAAACTCAGAGTAGGAAGCTGACAGTGTCCCCCCCACTGGCTACTCCCCAGGTGAGAGGTCTTGAGACCAGCTGCCCTGTGCCCAGCCAGTTACTTTTCCTAGCCTCTTAGCCTCAGTCTCCCCATCTCTCAGAGATGTGAAAGTCCCCACCAGGCTCCCGTCTGGTTCAGAGCGTGATGAGGGTGGGGACAGGGGCCTCAGTCTCCGTTCGAGCTGGAGGCTCTGTGTTCAGAGCCCAGTACCCTAGAACCTCAGCTCCCTCTCTGCTCCCCCAGCTCTGAGTTTGAAGAGGTCACCATCGACCCCACGTGCAGCTGGCGGCCGGTGCCCATCAAGTCAGACCTGCACATCAAGGATGACCCTGACGGCATCCCCTCCAAACGGTTCAAGACCATGAGTCCCAGCCAGATGATCATGCCCAACGTCATGGAGATGATCGCAGCCCTGGGCCCCGGCCCGTCCCCATACCCACTCCCACCCCCACCCGGGGGCAACAACTCCAATGACTACAGCAGCCAAGGTGGGTGATGCCCTATAGGGAGAGAGGAGGGCAGCCCCAAGCCCCAGCAGGGGTACAGGATTTCTGTGCGGACAGCAGTGGGGGTGGGGGGATGTAGATGGAGAGGCAGAGGATCCTTACCCCTAGAAAGCAGTCCCTACATTGCTGGACTTGGGTATGTCTACCCTAGCTTGGGGGCTTCCAAGCCCGCATCTCTGAGTTGTACAGCTTCTGCCCCTTCCCAGCCAGTTCTCACTGGAGTTGCTGAACACATCCGTCTGGAGTACTCAGCCCTCCGCCTAGCCCTCCCATGTTCTTCTGTGACATCTGTGTCGTCCCTGACCCTGCAGCTCTCCCACCTGTCCAGGGACAGAGTCCAGGCTCCTGGAGCCCAGCCAGTGGCCACCAATGTCCATCACTGGCTCTACTGCCCAGACCAAGCTTCACTCACTGCCACTTGATTCTTGGAAAATACCCCTCCAGACAGCAACTCTCCAAGTAGGATCCCTGATCCTATGTCCCCAGGGCTCCTAGGTGATAAGAGGCCCAGAGATGTTAGGCCACCTGGTCAGACTGCCCCAGCATGCCAAGGACCCCAGCCTCCAAGCGTGCAGATTCTCTGGCCCTCACCATTGCCATGCAGTGGAGGGCACAGTGGCCAGAGAAATCTTGAGTCTGATGCAGCTTTCTTTGTGGACTTGGCAGAACCTGGCCACGCCCTCGGGCCCAGGTCTTGCCAGGTAAGAAATGTGGCCACATAGGGGAATTGCTGAGCATATCCCGTTATAGACTCAAGTTTGGGCCTCCTTCCATGTCCCTTCAACCCCTAGAAGCCTTACCTACCATGTCTCCTACTCTGCCCTTCCCCTAACAGCAAGAGCAACATGTGCCCTGGGTGCCAGAGCCCACGAGACAAGGCTGCATTGCTGCTCCACTGCACAGCCTAGATGACTGAGGCCGCAGAAGCTGATTGGCCTCACAGGAGAAAAAGCACTTGGCTTGTACTTGTATGCACTCCCTGTTCCCTGGGGGTAGCTTCTATCCCTCTAGGTAACCTTCCCTCGCCCATCTCATTCCCTTCCCAGGCAACAGCTACCAAGGCCATGGCAATTTTGACTTCCCCCATGGGAATCCTGGTGGGACATCCATGAACGACTTCATGCACGGGCCCCCCCAGCTCTCCCACCCCCCGGACATGCCCAACAACATGGCCGCCCTTGAGAAACCCCTCAGCCACCCCATGCAGGAAACTGTGAGTATCTCTTCCTCACCCTCACCCTCTTTCCAAGCCTCTGGGGCTGACGGGGGCAGAAGTCTTCCCCTGGGATGTGGATACCCTGGCTCCCTCCCAAAAAAAGGGGAGGACTAAAATTTGAGTCTGGGAGCTCAGAAGCAATTAAGAGGCCCGATTGAGGCTGTGTCGTGGCCCCTCAGCATCCTTGGACTTGGCTGTTCCACCCAGGACTTTGGATTCTCTAGGGTGGGAAAAGCTTCAGGCTCCACCCCAAGCATGCACTCACACACTCTGCATACACATATACGTATACACACGTGTGCACGCACATGCCACCACCTCTCTCCCCCACTTACACACTCTTACATTGACTAAGCATGGGTCTAGCCACCTGGAATTTGATCCTGACCTAGACACTTATTCCCCAAGGGTCTGAGTCTCCCAGGCATTACCACTTACTGCAAAAGGAGATGCCAGGAAGCCTCATGGTCCTAGAAATATTCACACCTTATCCTGTTCCGCCTTGATGAATACCTAACCTGTGTCACTGAGCTAGCCCGTTATGGGATAAAGTGTCCTGTGCTATCCCCAGGCCCTCCCTTCCTGTGGCCCCCATGGCAGTGGCAGGAGGCCTGCCTGGCCTCTGAAGTCCTCATCTAGTCAGTGCTGGGATTTGCACTTGTTCAACAAATGTTTTCTGAGCCAGGCTTTGTGACAGGTGTAAACAAGACAGACAGGAGCCTTGCATCAATGGAGGAAGACTTCTGGCAGTGCCTGAGTGGAGGAAGAACAGTTGAGGTTTTGGGGAAACGGAGGCCTGAGGGCTGAAGTGGCTTGCCTGAGGCCTCAGTCATTCTGGTCTCTCATCATAGAGGGAGGAAGGGCAGTCGCTAAGGCTGTTGCTGCAGGTCCTGTGCTGTATCAGCCGGGGAGGGGGCCCAGGGGTATCGCCAATGCCTGGCAGCCGGATTGGGTGTGCCTGCTCCAGAAGGTGCCACTCCAGGCCTCTCATCTTCCATCACGGGATCTGGAAGGAAAAGGCTTCTGGTTATTCCACACGCCTGATGTGGAATTGGCTCTGCAACTGGACTGGGAGCTGTCCACAGGCCAGAGCCACCCCTGACTCTCAGCGAAGGTGGAATTAACCAAAAGGATCTGGGTGAGAGGGAGCACTGCAAAACTTTCTCTCAGGAAACCAAGTCAGAAGTCACTGCTTTGTGGCGCTTCGGCCAAGGTCTCGGGACTTACTCTCTGCCCTGTGAAGCCTCTGACTTCTTGGGACTTCTCTCCTGGTGTCCCTTCCTCAGCCCTGAGGACACCCCATGCCCAGGAGACCCCAGCTCCCACTCCACAGACACACCCCGCACATCCTGAGCCCTTGCAAGCTCCTCGTGCTGGAAAACAGCAGCAGGAATGTTACATACTTCCTTCTGTCAGCCAGGCTGCCCCCTGCCTCTTGTGAGCCCTGCCGCCCAGATCCAGTGCAGAGGGTCCTGGACCCGTGAGTTGACTTCAGAGGCCCCTTAGATGGCTCTGTCCTTCCCCATTTCTAAGCTCTCACTATAGGGCCACCAAGCCTGGAAGTACCGCTGTGGGAGGTGGGTAGGTTGGGGCAGTCACAGGTAAACACCCGCCCATCTAGAGGACCCCACCCCCAGAGTGAGCAAGTAGCTGGGAGGAACCCCCCTGCACACAAGGCTAGCCAGAGGAATCCAGCCAGCTGCCGACACACCCAAGGACTCTCCCAAGCCTAGTGGCAGGTAGACGGGTATAACAGCAGGGCTCAGTGGGCACCCGCCCCTCCAGACCCTAAGACATGCCAGCCATGTACCATGTCTGGGTGGGGACAGCTGTGTCAGAAGATCCAGGGTCTGTCTATCCTGAACTGGGTTGCTTGCAGGACCGCGGAGTTTCTCCCTGCTCCCCCAGGATGGGCACAGTAGGATGCCATATGGGTGGGACTCCAAGCTGTCTGGCTGACAGCACTGATGGCCCATTCCCCAGCCTCTTCCTCATGTGTGACCCCTATACAGGTCCCTCAGGGTCCCAAACCCCGTGGTTGTGAGATCCTCCCCTGTTTTGGATTGGGCTGGAAGGGCACTGTGCCACTTGGGGCCACATCAAGGTGACTGCATGAACCGTGGCAGAATCCAGCCTGCAGCAAGGCTTAGGGAGCAGTTTTCGGAGAAACAGGAAGAGGAATTGGGGTCTAGGGAAGACCAGGGGTGGCCAGGCTGCCAATTCCAAACTCACAAAGGAAGAAGACATCAGTGTATTCTGTGGGGCTCAGAAGGTGGGGTGAGGACAGGGGGATTAAAAGGCCGGAGAAACCGCCGTCCAGGCTGCCTATTCCAATAGAGGACCAGGAGTACCAGTGAGCTCCCCTCACTGGCAGAGTATGGGTAGGGCTGGGGTGCTGTGGGGATGCTCGGAGTGGAGCATCAAGGCTTGGGCTCTGCCTGCTGAGGTTCCCTGCCTCTCACTTCCAGGGAAGGCCTGTGCAGGACAGCAAACTGACTAGTGGAGAATGTTTACATCTCACCCACCCATCTGCCTGCCCGCAGACAGCCCAGCTTCCAGTGCACTTGCCCTTGGAAGAGTGCACATCCTCTAGTTTATGTTAGAGAAGCACTGCCATCCCTGACCTCAGCAAGTCTTCCCCTTTGGTTAACTGTCACACAGAATCCTCCTCATTCTTGGAGGCCTGGAGGTGCCTGCCTCCCCCAGCACCCTGTGCCGACTAGGTGGAGTGGCCCAGAGTAAGGGCCCAGCAGTTTCTGGTCCCCAAGTGCCCGTCCCGCCTTGCCTCCCCGACGGTGGCTAGATTCCACTCGGGCAGCCAGCAGGGCTCAGGCTGAGGCCTTGCTGCCACACTCCTTGGCTGTCAGAAGACGCCTTTGTGCCCAGCATTGCTCAGGGGATGCAGACCCAGTCCTGAGCCGCACACCTGCCCGATGCTGTCTGTCCGCGTCTGCTCTCCGCCATCCAGCCCCGGGAAGCCCTGCACTGTGCTGCGGCGACCCCTTCCCTGCTCCCCAGAAACATGCCCATTTTGCTTCTCCATCCTGCTCTCACTGTTGTTCGTTGTGGTGCCGGTGTCCAGGGCGGGGAGGCGGAGGGGCCCGTGTCTGTGCTTGTCTTGAGGCCTTTCCGGCTTCCCCCTGGCCCCACGCAGCCCGAGAGGCCCCCACCTTCCCCCCTCCCCCCGCCACGGCCTCCCTAATGGGAGGTTGCGGGGAGGATTTTTTTGTTTCTATACCCACAAAAAGTGTTGAGCTTTGTACAGGGGCTGCCTCGTTGGGGGTTGTGATTTCCCAGGTTTGTTTGGGTTCATTTCTTCAGGCATCTCGTTGCTGTGCCCGTCACCTCACCTTTCTTCTCTCCTGCTCTCTCCTCCTCCACAGATGCCACACGCTGGCAGCTCTGACCAGCCCCACCCCTCCATACAACAAGGTTTGCACGTACCACACCCCAGCAGCCAGTCAGGGCCTCCATTACATCACAGTGGGGCTCCTCCTCCTCCTCCTTC